AGAGTGTGTGTTTGTGTAAGGATGTAGTGTGTGTAGTGACTGCAGAGTTTATGTTTGTGTAAAGATGTAATGTGTGTATATTTTAGTGAATAATGTGTGTATATGTTAGTGAATAGTTGTGTAAATGTTAGTGAATAGTTGTGTAAATGTTAGTTTATAGTGTGTGTAAATGCTAGTGAATAGTGTGTGTAAATGTTAGTGTATAGTGTGGGTAAATGTAAGTGAATAGTGTGGGTAAATGTGTTAGTGAATAGTGTGTGTGTAAATGTTAGTGTATAGTGTGGGTAAATGCTCTGCTCTGTCGAAGTCTCAAAAAGCCGTGTGGAGCGTCGCTCACGAGACTTCGACAGAGCAGAGCATCTGGGCAGTATATTTCAACTGTGCTGGGCCCCCTGCAGAATACAGGTAGCGGGGGCTGCACCATTCCTCAGGCCCGCAGTGCACACATATATAGCGTTAATTGCTATATATGTGTGCACATAGCTAATGTGGGCAGTGGCGTACACATAACCCATGGGGCCCTGGTGCGAAAACTGATCCGTGGCCTCCCCCGCGTGCGCTTACTATGTGCGGGCTGGGGCCGCAACACATGGCGGCTGGCACCTGGTCGCAGGGCTGTGACCCCTGCGACTGTGGTATGTACGCCAGTGCATACAGATACACTTAAAGGACCATTACAGACACCCAGATCACATCAGCTCAATGAAGTGGTCTGGGTGCCAGGTCCCTCTAGTTTTAACCCTGCAGCTGAAAACATAGAAGTTTCAGAGAAACTGCTATGTTTCACTGAGGGTTAATCCAGCCACTAGAGGAGCTTCCGTGATTCTCACTGTGAAAATCACAGTGAGAAGAGGCTATACAACTAGATTAGTTAAAGAAATTGAGTAATGCTTTCCCATGGGCGGTTTGAATGCGCGCGCAGCTCTTGCCACGAATGCGAATTCGGAGCTGAGAGGCGGAGAGATCTCCAGTGCCAAGGGAGTCCGGTGCTGGAGAAAGGTAAGTGCTTAAGACACATACACACGCACACTCTCACGAACAAACAGACACACACATTTACTGACAGACACACACTCAGTGACATACATACACACACACACACTCACTAACAGTCACACACAAACTAACTCACTCAATAACAGACACACACAGTTACACACTCACTGACACACTAACACTAACACACACACACACTAACACACACACTCTAACACACACTTTTTTTTTTTTTTTTAAGTTTCATCCCCAGCCTCCCTACCTTTGGGAGTGCTGAGGGGATTCCCTGGGTTCCAGTGGTGTCACCCGGCGGCCAGGCTGGTGGGCGCGCTTGGGAGCACTCTCCCTGGCTGAGTGCTCCCTGTTTAGCTCCCTCGCGCACCGCGTACTGATGCTGGAGCCGGAAGATGACGTCATCTTCCGGCATCAGTGCGGTGCGCGAGGGAGCTGAAGAGGAAGCACTCAGCCAGGGAGAGCGCTCCCTTGCTCGCCCGCTGGGTGACACCAGGGCCAGTCTCGGGGGCCCTGAGGTGACCGGCTGCCGGGCCCCCCAGGTGAAGAGGCTGGCCACAGTGGGTACATACCGGGTCGCAGGGCGGCCGGGCCCCCTGCGACCCGGTATGTATGCCACTGAACCGTTATGGTTGTCATGCCCTGATGGTGGCCCTGAGTAGAGGTGTAACTAAGGCAGAGATTGCACACTTCCTTATAGTCAGACTGAGTCACACCTGCAAAGAGAACTGTGATAGGCTGAATGCGGTCAGCTGACACGCTCAGCCAGTCACAGCCGCCTATTGCTGCTCAGGCTAACGCTTACTTATTAGCTCAAGCAGCACAGAAGGCATGGGCTTCTTGGGGACTTAGAATTAAAACATTAGAAATGGTTTATTACTGAATGAAAGGAGAGCACCATGGGATTGCAGACACTATAACCATTTCAATGAGATGAAGCAGTTACAGTGCCTACAGTGTCCCATTACATTTTGCTTTAAATCCGATGCTGTTTTACGGTATGTATCTTTTATAAGCTTTTATAATTCATAGTTTAATAGGCAGTATGGCCTTCATCTACCAATACACCAACTAAAAAAGAAAAAAAAAAAAAACACTTTTTTTTGTGGTGTTTTAATAATCAAATACAGCTCTATAAAAATATACCACTTGGCCTGTACATGACCTATGCAACACATAAACTCATAAAACGAAAAAAACAATAAAAGCCTGCACTTGAGCAGAAAAGCCAAGCTGGCTTTACTACAGAAATATGAATCCAAGAAACATCTGGTTTGTTTCAAGTCCTTTGGAAAGATCATTTTCAGATCAAATCATTTCTGGAGCCGGAACAGGGAACACGGCGTAGAGCAGCTGTCACTAAATACGTCTTACTAGGAAAGTGCATATCTCGGAGTATGAACGGATCTTGCAGATTGTTTTATAGGTTTTTGTCATTTAAACTCACTGGTTCATATTTACAAGGTTCAGTAAAGGTCCCGTGTGAAGACGGCTTAATAAATTAGGCTCGGATGTTTGGGCCAGAAGTTGAAATACAACCTTACTATTTACAGTTTCGTAAACTAACAGAGTGAACCAAATGAGACATAGGCCATCTTGCTGTTAAGAGGATTTATTCTCAGGAATTGGAGATGTTTGGAAAATGTGGATTTTTTTTAGATTTTTTTTATTTTTTATAGTCTTTGAAATACGAGCTCAAAGACAAACACACAAACCAAGGATTTATTCTCATAACATAGTAAATTAGAAACTAAATTGCAAAATTTACACTACAAGAGATGATTTAGAAATATTCTTCTAATATGCCATAGTCTCAACCGGACAATTTTCAATTGAATTTTGCAATTTAATTTCCACTTCACTACAATTTTATGTTCAGTGAATAAATCCCATTAGTAATGCCTTTAGTGCACGTTGGCATCTCTGTCAGCAGGGCCGGATTAACATAGGGGGTGATGGAGTTGCAGTTCCAGGCCCAGGGCCATGGAAAAGGCCCATTGATTAAAAAAATTTTTTTTTTTTATGTTGTTACTTTTTATTTTTACCACCCACTACTCTTAGGGTTGTTCACCTGGCCGGTATTTATGCAGTAATACCAGCAATACAAATGCCGGTATTTTTCTCAGTTTAAACAGAGATTACTCTGCAATACCATTACCGGCCAGTAGCGGTTGCTGTGTGTGTGTGTGGAGAGAGGCAGGGATAGAAAGTTACAGCATATACCTGCATCTCTCTACTCACTGATCTGCAGGGGAGCAGCTACACAGCACAAAGAGTCCAGATACAAGCTCCCAGCCTGCAGAGACAGCCTACAGCTCAGGGAAGCAAGGGATGGGGTAAAGGCTGCAGGGAGACATGGGGACACTGAGACACCAGACATGGCGACACATGGAGACCTCTGGGGACGCTGAGACACTTAGCGACACGGGAACACAGACACACATGGGGACACTGAAACACTAGGGGACACTGAGACCTGGGAACACTAAGACACTAGGGGACGCTGGGAGACATGGGGAAACAGACACACTGTCATGGTACCTGTGGTATCTGCCTCAGAGAAGGTCAGGCATCTGGACGTGGTTCCTCGGGATGGGGCATGTGCACCCAATCATTTCAGTTATTTTGTCCGTTTACATGCCGGCCGCGATAGCCCCACCTCCTTTTATAATGCGGCGCCCGATAGACAACGTCATGACGTTAATGACGTCACGACCCGCCAAAAACTTCAAAGAATGACATTTTGGGGGCGTGGTCATCAATCAAGTAACCAAGGTATAAAAGAGACTCATTTGCAATGAGTCATTGCCCTGTCGTGGTTCTAGCTTGTCTGGTCCCTCAGTGCTCTTATTTCTACTGATTATTTGGTTCTTGACTTGGCTCTCTATTATCGTCACTGCTACCTTCTCCTACCCTTTTACTCGGCTTGGCTTTCGCTTACATGTCTTCTCGTTCCCTCGACCTCGGCTTGTCTCTGACCATTCTTTGTCTTGTCTAACATTAGTCCGGCCATCCTAAGGTCCGGTATACGTACCGGTTACGGTTTGCATTCTGCGTGTTGGATCCCTGTCACGATCCTGACACACACATGGGGACACTGGGTGACATGAAAACACTGGGAGACAGGGAGACACTGGGAGCAATCTATCTATACAGCAGAATCAAACAAAGTAGTTTTTTGGTGATTTCCCATAATTTTCTCTGTCACTCCTTGTGATTTACATCATGTGATGTCACACATACATAATTAGTTATGCAAATTAGTAAGGCCTGTGTAAGACACATGGGGACACATCAGGACACTGAGACACTGGGGGACACAGACATGAGGACACTGAGACACTTGGGGACACAGACACTAGGGACACAATGTCCCCAAGTGTCTCAGTGTCCCCATGTCTCCCAGTGTCCCTAGTGTATGTGTGCCCAAGTCTCCCAGTGTCACTAGTCTCACAGTATCCATAGTGTATCAGTGTCCCCTAGTGACATGGGGACACTAGGAGACATCGGGATACAGAGGGCACTAAGACACTGGGATCCATAGTCTATGTCCCCAAGTGTCTCAGTGTCCCCATGTCTCACAGTGTCCCCTAGTGACATGGGGACACTGGGAGACATGGGGACACAGACACTAGGGGACACTGGGTGTAATCTATCAATACAGCAGAATCAAACTAAGTAGTTTTTTGGTGATTTCACAGAATTTTCTCTGTCACTCCTTGTGATTTACATCATGTGATGTCACACATACATAATTAGTTATGCAAATTAGTAAGGCCTGTGTAAGACACATGGGGACACATCAGGACACTGAGACACTGGGGGACACAGACATGAGGACACAGACACTTGGGGACACAGACACTAGGGACACAATGTCCCCAAGTGTCTCAGTGTCCCCATGTCTCCCAGTGTCCCTAGTGTATGTGTGCCCAAGTCTCCCAGTGTCACTAGTCTCACAGTATCCATAGTGTATCAGTGTCCCCTAGTGACATGGGGACACTAGGAGACATCGGGATACAGAGGGCACTAAGACACTGGGATCCATAGTCTATGTCCCCAAGTGTCTCAGTGTCCCCATGTCTCACAGTGTCCCCTAGTGACATGGGGACACTGGGAGACATGGGGACACAGACACTAGGGGACACTGGGTGTAATCTATCAATACAGCAGAATCAAACTAAGTAGTTTTTTGGTGATTTCACAGAATTTTCTCTGTCACTCCTTGTAATTTACATCATGTGATGTTACACATTGGCAACCCTAACTACTCTTCACATATTCTTGCTTAAGTATGGAAACTTAAGAGGCATATGTGGAAACAAAACTTGTGTGAACTAGCTGAAATGAAATTAGTTAAGGTAATACTGACTTTGGTCTCTCAAACACTGCGGCATGTTCCCTTTCTTCTACACTCACTACATCCACCTTTTCTCTGTCTCAGACTGTATACCAGGAGCTTCTGCCTACTAGTAAGAAGGTAAGGAGACAAGTGGACATGTGAGTGCTAGTGGACTGTCCTTAGAAAGCATGGAGCGAGCGCATCATTAGACGCATTTATGCCAAGCTCAGGATGCTGTTGGCCAGCATGCATGATTGGCAGGCAGCCTGACATGTATTCATCCCAGGCTAGCCTTCAATTCTTTGGGCAGACATGCCTCGTTTTTGGTCATATTCGCCCCTTTCGGAAGTCCTGGTTATATGATCCGCGTCAGTGGTCCACCCTATTACACCACCCATTAACTTCCTGCTTCTGTGGACACTGTTGTTAGGAGATATGGATTTACTTGAAAGATGAAAGTATGAATTAGAGAGAGATTAGCATATTTTAAGAGAATCTGATTTTTTATTTTTATATAGCTGCATCCTATGAGTTGAGGAACACTGTGTGCGCATTTAAAATACTTGAAACAGGAAGGTGGTTGAATTCAATGCTTTCATTTGAGCTGCAATACAAGCATTGTAGTTTCTACAAAACCACAATGTGTTACATTGCAGGGTTAAAAATAACAGGACCACTGCACCCAGACCACTTCATGGAGATGAAGTTGTGTGGGTGACATTAGTGATCCTTTAAGATTATGGAGGAAGGGGGCATTAAAGAAACACTCTAATGTTAGGAATACAAACGTGTTTCTAATGTTAGAGTATTTTACTGCCGACTTAGACTAATGGGCCCCCAGATGTCAGAAAATAAAGTATTTTACTTACCGTCTACCGCCTGGGGTGCCGGTCTTGCTACAGCCGCTCCTCCTTCTCTTGCTGAGAACACCATACTGATCATCTCAAACAATCCAATAATTACCAAGCTGTGCCAATCAGCATTTCCTAATACAGATGCATCAAGTCAGTGCATTTCTATGAGGAACATTCGTGCATAGCGAATTAGCATGCTTGCGCTGTGTTTGCTTGTGACTTGTCTCTGGTGTCTCAGTAAGTTGGTTACCAGAGGACAAAAGGGCCAGGAAAGCGCATTGTGCGTGTGTTTGGAGCCTGCTTGTGGTGTTGTGTGTCAGTAGAGTGAGCTGTAAAGAGTGTTTTCTGTAAATGTCGGTTTCAGTTGTACTGTGTTTGTGGTGTAATATATGTGGCTAGGGATGTAGAGTGTTTGTGTGTATGTATATGGGGCATAGTGTGTATAGTGGATATAGCAAGTGTGTGCATCGGGGATGTAGTGTATGTGCTTATAGAAAGTGTGTGTGTTTAGGGAATGTAGTGTTTGTTTGCTTACAGGGTATCTAGTGTGGGCATAGGTGATTCAGAGTGTGTGGCATGTGGAGGAGATCGAGTGTGTGTGTGTGTGTGTGGAGGACCCAGTGTGTGTATGAGATTTAGTGTGTGTATGTGTGTGTGTGGGGAGAGGATCCAGAGTTGTGCAGGGGATCTAGTGTGTGTGTGTGTATAAGGGATGAAGTGTGTCTGGAATGGAATGTGAGTAGGTGTGCACTGTGTGTGTGTTAATGGTGCAGTGTGTGTATGTATGTGAGGGGTGCAGTGTGTGTGAAGGGCACAGATTGTGTTTGAGGGGTGCAATGTGTGTGTGTAAGGAATGCAGTGTGTGTCTGTGTTTAAGGGGTGCAGTGTGTGAAGGGTGCGTGTGTTTATGATGCAGAGGGAAGATTAAAGCAATATAATATATATATTTTATAACCCCTTTCTCTTTTCACCTTTGTCTGGGAGGGGGGGCATGGAGGTGTGTTTAGGGAATGTAGTGTGTGTGTTTTTTTACAGGGGATCTAGTCTGAGCATGGGTGATTCAGAGTGTGTAGTGGTGATCGAGTGTGTGTGTGCAGGATCCAGTGTGTATATGAGATTTAGTGTGCGTGTATAGAGCATTCAGAGTGTGTATAAAGGTTCTTCAGAGTGGCGTATAATATTGAGATTACTGCATGGGCCAACCAGGGAGATCTCTTGATCTCCCCTCTCGGCCTTGGCCCCATGGCCGTTGCAGCCCACCGGACATTTGCCCAGGTTTGCACGATGGCCAGGTACACTGGAAATGGAGATGAGGATCCTATGGCACGAGATATGCAAATGATTGCTGCAAAAAACTTGCAGATAACTTGTGATGGGATGCTTGGATGCTACAGCAGTTAAAAAAAAATTAATGTAAATAAAACTCCGGGGCCTGACGGTATTCACCCACGAGTACTTGAGGAGTGAAGTGTGGAAATAAGTGAACCTCTGTATTTAATCTTTCAAGATTCTTTTGTTTCAGGAATTGTTTGGGTGTTGCAGTGGATGTGATCTACTTGAAATTGCCAAGGCATTTGATATGGTTCCTCACAACAGGTTAGTTTTTAAACTAAAAGAAATTGGTCTAGATGAATATTCTTGGGTAGAACATTGGCTTAAGGATAGAGTACAACGAGTTGTCACAAAAGTGGTAAGTAGTGTCCCTCAGAGTTCTGTTTTGGGACAGCTTCTATTTAACATATTTATATGATCTTGAAATAGGCATTGAAAGCCATGTATCAGTGTTTGCAGATGACACAAAACTTTGTAAAGTAATAAAATGTGAGCAGGACGCTGATTTGCTGCAGAGGGATTTAGATAGATTGGGGGACTGGGCACTAAAATGGCAAATGAAATGTAATGTAGAGAAATGCAAAGTTATGAACTCTGGGGTAAAGAATGCACAAGCAACTTACACCCTAAATGGTAGTGGATAATGGATAACCACACACAAGAAGGATTTATGAATTGTTATATTATTGTTATATTAATTGTTATAAATTAGGCAGCAATATGCAATGTCAATCTGCAGTTGCTAAGGCCAGTAAGGTTTTGTCATGTATAAATAGGGGCATAAATTCTCAGGATGAAAATATAATTTTGCCTCTTTATAAAATCGCTGGTAAGACCACACCTTGAATATGATGTGCAATTTTGGGCACCTGTTCTAAAGAAGGATTTCATGGCACTAGAAAAAGTGCAGAAATTAGGTACAAAATTGATCAAATAAATGGATAATTTAAGTTATGAGGAAAGATTAAAAAATTTAAATTTCTGGGACAGGGCTTGGCCGCCATTCTAAACGGTCACATAGAACAAGGGCTCCTTATCTAGAATGCCCTAATCTCTGCTAAATTGCCTATATAGGGGTGCAAGCTACTCCTCAAATTACCTAGATGCGTCTGGTACACTGCTGGGCACCAATCTGTGCATTTCATTGCCCTGCAGCAGAAGAGCTCTAGTCTAATTACGGCCTAGTGTGGTCTCGACTGGAGGGGGCAGCGACCTCCTTGGTGGAGTCCTGCAGGCTGTGCTGTGGCCAGGTCTCGTATTCCTCCCCCCTTTGGACCGGTGGGGGTCATCCCAGTCTCCACCTGCCCTCCAGGTGGGCAGCGGTGTGCTGTATGCTCTCTAGATGGCAGGGGATTTCAGGCTCACACAAGGCTCTGCGGCGGATTCACCTGGAGAGATGCCTTCTGCTCCTGATTTGACCAAGTATGTGTGCAATTCTGGCACCGACTTGAGATGAGGGCAACATGCGTTTACTCACCAGCTGAGCCTTTACCTCCCAGAGCTCCCATGGACAGTTCCTTGCATTCTGGGCCAGGAGCCCACAGGGGGCTTCAACCTGAGCACTGTCCACGTGCTCGAGAGAAATCTCCTCACCAAGATCTTGCCTGGGATCTTAGCCTAGTTGCTTGGGTCTGTGGACATTGTGCAGTTTTTCCATTACTGGTCCAGAGCTTGCAGGACGGGCTATAGATAGGATGGGGTGTGTGCTCGGCGGATCCGATCCACACGCAGTGTCTGCAGGCCTTCTACAGCATTGGCATAGGCTGACTGACTTTCAAGCGTTCTCATTCGCCCACTGGCCTATCAAGCTCTATTGCAAACTGATTGCCCCACAGCTCCTCTGTTTTACCTAATTTCTGTTGATCACTCATTCTCTTAATTTTGCATAGAAGTAACTACTATATTAGTAAGCTTTCGCTGGTGGGATGGTATTAATCTTTAATAGTCTGGTTATAGGCTTAGCCTATAACTCTCAGGCAGCATGTTATTCTCTGGCAGCATCTCAGCAACATATACTGTAAATGACCATATTATTACGTATAAGCTTGGTTATACCTAAAAGTAATTCTCATGTGTATCTTAATCCAATCACCATGCATATTCTGTATAGAGTGAAGATGCTAATCTTATATTTGCCGCTACCAGACTATTAGTTTTCTTTTTTAATTTTTGCATGTTTCCTTAACCATACCTATATAACTTTTAAAAGGGGACTGTACACTCATTATCTGTGACACGATTATGCTTCAACCATATTGTACATTAATGTCTTAAAACTGCTGTATGAATGCCATGCCCACAAAAAATAAAGAATAACATTTTTTTTTTATTAGGTTAGAAAAACGGCACCTCACAGGGGATATAATCGGGGGGCCAGTACAAACCACTATCTGGAAATCTATTCATAAACAGGGCTATACATAGGACACAAGGTCACGCATTTAGGCTGGAAGAAAGGAGATTTTTACAGTAAGAGCAATAAAGATGTGGAATTCTCTGCCTGAAGAGGTAGTTTTATCAGAGTCCATACAGATGTTTAAACTGAAATTGGATAAATAATTGCACAAACATAACATACAGGGATATCATTTCTAATTAGTGGGGTAATAGCTGCTTGATCCAAGGAGACATCTGACTGCCATTTTGGAGTCAAGAAGGAATTTTTTCCTTGTTTGTTGCAAAATTGGAAGTGCTTCAGACTGGGGTTTTTTGCCTTCTTTTGGATCAACAGCAAAAACATATGTGAGGAAAGCTGAACTTGATGGACGCAAGTCTCTTTTGAGCCTATGTAACTATGTAATTATGAGTGCCATCTTATCTCACCATGCTTTCACTTGCTAACACCTCCAGGGACATTGCACAGTCTCATTCTAGTCTAGTAGCCTAGACAACCACAGATGTTGGGTCCAAATAAGCCAGCCCAGGTCTGGAGAATATTAAGACTATGGGTCAAACCACTCAAGTGCTGAGTTAGCAAAGGCTCTCCACGAGTCCTGTTTGCTGTTTCACTCTTCCATTACTGTGCCAACAAACAACTCAACACACCTCTTGCTATTTTAAGAATAAGAATGATGTTAAGCTGCGGCCCAAAACCCCATTTAATAGTGATCCCCACCCCTCTTTGTCAGCTTTCCAATTATTGTACAAATTAAACACTTTTCACTTTATTTTAAATAGAAGAAACATACTGTGGTTTTCTTTAGAATTTGGTATTTTCAGTCAGAAATTTTGCATCCTATGGAGACTTCCTGGTTTTCATGTGTTAACGGGACACTCTAAGCACCATGGCTTCTACAGACAATTGAAGTATCTACAAATTAAGACATACTCACCACTGAACAGCATCACCATCATACTCCACAACCCACACATTTGACTTTGAGCAGAAACCACAAACAGAACTAATACTGTTTTTTTCATGAGCACCAAGCATGCGGATATACCCCTTTCTGCAAACAGACACACCGCCAATATCCTTTCCACACCACACCAATTTCTTCTCTGCAGAACCACCAATGTCCACTTCCCCAAACTCACCAATGTCCACTTCCCCACACTCACCACCAATTTATAGCTATAAATACGCACAATTTCAATCCCTCTTTCTTCAAATAGAAGAAATGTATATTGACTCTGAATAGTGGATGGATTTAAAGTGGCACTATAGGCACCCAGACCACTTCAACTCATTGAAGTGGTCTGGTTGGATAGTCCCAGGTCCCTTAACCCTGCAAAGGTAATTATTGCAGTTTTTAATAAACTGCAATAATTACTTTTGTGGGTTAACTCCAGCTCAAGTGGCTGTCTACTAGAGGTACTTCCGAATGGTTAGGTGACTTTTGGTCGCCTTACTGACACTGGATGTCCTCACGCTATGCATGAGGACATCCAGCATCACCCAAAACCCCACAGGAAAGATGGAGGGAAGTCCTAATGCAAGCACGGCCATTGCAGCGCACATGCATTAGGTCTCCAACGCAGGAGAAAAAAAAACAATAACAAATAAAGGGAAGTGAAATCAAATCAAAGTTAGTGGTCGGAAAATCTATCATATAATGTCATGCTGCAGCATCGTCCTTTATCTCTAAACACCAAACACACTGAACATTCCAACGCGTGTTTCGCAACTAACTGTCTATTCTAGGGGTGACGAAACGCCAATTAGTGGTGAAATGCATGTTGGGATGTTCAGTGTGTTGGTGTTTAGATATAAAGGACGATGCTGCAGCTTGACATAATACGATACATTTTGCCACCACACATCGTATTATGCCAAGCTGCAGCATCGTCCTTTATATCTAAACACCAACACACTGAACATCCCAACATGCATTTCACCACTAATTGGCATTTCGTCACCCCTAGAATAGACAGTTAGTGGCGAAACACGCGTTGGAATGTTCAGTGTGTTTGGTGTTTAGAGATAAAGGACGATGCTGCAGCTTGACATAATACGATACATTTTGCCACCACACACTTTTTTGATTTGATTTTACTTTATTTAAGTTATATATATATTTTTTTCCCCCCTTTGGCTATTGGAGTTTGTGATCAGCTTATTTCCCTCTCAACTTGTTTATGATTTTGTCAGCTTATAATTAGGGGAGATGGGTGGTTAGCTTTTAAGGGGTGCCCTCGAAGGCACAGTAGTTATAGTTTTCAGCTTTTTACTCTACGTTTTGTTTTTCGACCTTATATCACTTACCTGATAGCGCCTACTACATGAGGGTTATTATTGTGTATCTTATATGATGTTTAGCTCACATCCCCCCTACACCTTGGGAGACATTGTTTCACTTCCTTTACCCCGACAGAAAGCCACAGTAGTCTCTGGACTGTTAATTTGTTTTCTTTTGGTTTATTTTTGCTTGGAGCATTACAGCTTCTTGATTCATCTACCTAGTCGATGAGACAGTTACACATATTTTTCTTTATATACACACACGTTTCATTTGGACCAAATATTTTTGGACATTGTAGTCAGGACACTTACCTTTGATAGCGATTATTACACAATCTAGTCCTGAATGTAAAGGGATCAGTTTTTTACTAGACTTTAATAAAAAAGTTAACTTTTACTTTATGGGTTACTCTTTTTTTTTTAAAAACTTTTTTTCACCCTTTTCACCCTTTTTTCTTGTGTGGATTATATATTATGTATATTTTACAAAATATTAAAATATATAAAAACTATATTTTTTTTTAAATAAGACATCATTTTAAAAGTTTAGCAAAAAATATTAAAGGACCACTATAGTGCCAGGAAAGCAAACTCAGCTTTGTATTCCTGGCGCTACAGTATCCCTTTTAGCTACACTCAAAAGAATCAATCTATTCTGGATTTTTGCAAGGGATCGATTTGTTTGGGCATAGATTAAAGTAACACTATAGTCACCCAACTTACTTTGTCTCAATGAAGTGGGTGCAGTGGACCTGTCATTTTAACCTTGCAATGTAAAACATTGCTGTATTTTAGAAAGTGCAATGCTTATTTGCAAGTTTAAATCCACTCATAATGGCAGTCTTCAAGAGTCCCAGCACTGGAAACGAAAGAAGTTCACTTTTAAACTTTATTTTTTTATCAGGAAAGAGGCTGGCAGAATAGAACATATAATTTAAAAATTATGATTGTTATTTACATAGCAGAAATTTGATCAGTTTGCTACAGGTGAAAATTATTTGCACACAAGGCTAAAAATAATACTTGGAAGAGGAGGTATCAAACAGTGTTTCTATTTCTCCCCTCTGCAATGTTTGACCTGGCATCGCCTTGCCTGATCTGGATTATCATGTTGTTTGCTAAATAAAATTGTTAATATAAGTTTTAAAGAAAGAGGAATGTCTCTTGAGAAACTGGTTAAAGAAACCCTATAGCAGAAGGGATACAAACCTGTATTCCTAACACTATAGTGCCCCTGTGGCTAGTTATATATAGGTGTGCCCGCCCACGCACCCATGTGCGATAAAAATGTTGCTTACCTTTTTACATCTCTCCGCCTCCTGCAACATCTTGAGGAAGCAGGGCACAAAATTTCCACTAGCCACTGGCTATTTTAAGGTCTGGCTTGTAGCATAGGACTTCAGAGTGTAAGCTCCGAAAGAGGTATAGCTTCCTCCAGGCAATGTTCCAATCCTTTGCTCCTCATTGAGGAGTGTTGGAGACCTAACGCGCATGCATGACAGGCACCACAGGTGCATTCAAGTTTCCCCATTGGAAAGCATTGCATTCAATGCTTTCCTATGAGCTTTATTATCATATGACTGAATTTCACTTGGACAGTGCGGCAGAAGCGCCTCTAGTAGCGGTCAGTGTGAGGGCCACTAGAGGTGGATTTAACTTACCAAAAATTGCAATGTATTTAAATTGCAGGGTTAATATGGCATGGTCACTGCACCCAGACTACTACATTGAGTTTGTTTACTGTCCCTTTAACACGTTAGGGTGAGTTTCAATGTTTGCTTCAATGTGTATGACCAGTCCCCATTTAAAATAATAGTTAGTAAAGTTGTTTAAACAGATCAGTTTTCTGAGAGAAATCAAGATTGCTTTGGTTTTTATAAAAATAAAAAGGCCAGTTTGTTTTGTAACTTATTGATCTCATATTGATGATAAACCTTGTTTTCTCCCTTGTGTTTTTTCCTCATTGCTGGCTGATGATAATGAAGGTTTAAAGGCTGTAGTTACCTGATATTGGCATGCATACAGCACATTACTCATCCTGTCACATTGTATCACATGTCGCTCATTCCATTTCCATGGCAACCACACAGCGGCCGAACAGGCATTCACTCTGGCAGGTCATTTCTTCCCACCAATCACAGCTGGCTTGGCAAACCCGACGCACATGTCTCGCTGCTCCAGTGCCTTTCCGTTATTTCATAAGCGGGTCTCCTATTGGTTAAGGGGCGGGAAGGTGGGAAGCTCTGCACCAATCATCGTTCTAGTGTGGAAAACGCATGTAACACGTGCATATCCGGAAGTAGGAAGGACACAGCGTGGATTGTGAGGAGTGTTGTGCTCAGGTGAGGTGTGACAATTTCATTGGACTTCTCTTTCTTAAGCAGTTATAAAGTAGCATAAACTGCAGTGGAAATGATGCGAATAATCAGCATTTCATCCATTGTTGAATAGCTGATACAGTATACCTTTATCATGCTTATTTTTCCTTGTAGTACACAGTTATAAACATTTTTATGATAAACTTTTAAGGAACACGAAGTTTTGGGTTTTTAATCTTTAAATGTAAACACCCACGTTCAATTGTATATATCAACATGACATTGTGTCACTAATGCTGCAGACTTGTGGTTAAGACATCTCTTCATTTACTTATATTTTTAGTATAAAGAAAGTAGTTGTAAAAGTAAATTTATTTATTTATTGGGGTGGTGACTAGGGGGTTGGGGACCCCTAGTCACATGGGTGTGCTTTACGTAGAAGGATAGTTACATATAATAAACACTGTTTCCATTCTCTTCACATCAACTTTATCTACATATAATATTAGATATCTTTCATCAGCAAATTAATTTACCTTAATTCAAACTGGATTGCCCCTTCACATTGAGGACAGTTATGAGTATCGTTGTATTAACAGTTCTTTAAAGGGATACTCTAACCTTTTCCGCACCTTGTATTGCCCTGCCCTCCCACAGCTCCCCCCTTAGGCCCCCCAAAAAAACACCCAAAACACTTGGAAAAATGTACAATATGTTTTACTGCACAGGTTAGGATTGGAACCCCAGTGACGCATGGAGTTCCAATCAAAGGCTTCTTAAAGAGAATCCATTGATTGTACTATTTAACAGGCTCAACGCGTCTGTGCACTCTGAGCTGGTGAAGGAAGAGAGGGCAGGAGAAAACAAAATTATCAAAGGGAAGCAGATAAAATAAAAAAATTGATTATGGAAATGTTTTTAAATCAGGCATCTAGTGTGTATCCTTAAGAACTGAATAAAGAAACGAGGAATAGGCTTATCTCCTAAAAGTAAATATTTAACCTGAAGAAGACCCTTATAGACCCACTAATGGAACTGTTGAAGTGAATCTACTGAAGGACAGCTTAGCTCGGTATCTACACGACTTTCAGAGTGCAAGAGAATGTAAAACTTGCAGAAAATGTTTTAAGAGGAGAAGTGATCATGGGATACCATAAGGAGTAACGAGAGTTGGGAAGGAGTGCCAAGTTCAGTTCTAAGCGCACACAGCAAGGGGCATAAAAGTTATAGCACAAAGATGTAAACATAGCTAGATAAGCAATCTTGTAGTAAGAGTAGAAATGTTGTAGGCTGAAACCTTCAGATAATTTGAGCTGATGTAAGGCTCACTTTGATTTTAATGAAGAAGAGATACAGTGCATACTATGCTGTTAACTTCTAATGTCTTGAACCAGTGGGTATTGGTTCCCTCACTTACCACCAAAAAAACCTCAGTCCACTTGCTATTGTTTGCAATGTACCACCATGATATTTTGCATTTTCCTCTGAACATTGTCTTGTATGTATAACATAAACTTGTGGATTGAGACAAAAAAGAAAGGTACACATTGATTATTTTTTATAGATTTTTTTTTACTAGTCTATATATGTTTATGGTCCCTGAATTTACCTGCTAATCAATTCTTGGCATAGAGCACTATGCCATTGGCACATGTCTCTATGCAGACCTTTCTACAGGAAGTTTGTCTGCTTTGTCACTGCAACTACAGTGCATTATTGTTGCTGTGACTATTCCTCTGGCTGGTGGTGGCTTTATTATAGACAAAACAAAATGGAGTGACAGATGTCACTGTGTAGGGGAGAGAGAAGTAAAAAAAAGCAAAGGAATATGGATTTATGTTTACCCTTCCTTTTAATAAAGTAATGTTTTGTTTCATTAGCTGGATTCATCATGATAACCCCAGCTTTTGAGATAACTCAGGATCCAGTGTTCCTTACAATTATAATCAAGGTTCCCTACGCCAGAGTTTCTGAAGTTGATGTTTACATTGAAGGAGATGACTTCAAATTTTATGCCAAACCTTACTTTCTAAGGTAAGAACAGTAGTTACCTGCTTTTATTCTTTTAATATTTTCACACCATTTTAAATTGTCTGTAATATAATTTCTTCCAAATGGTGCCTTGATGTTGTAGAGTGGGTGGGATGTCCACACTTTAAATCCCTAGATGTTTTAGAAATACAATTTTCATGATGCAAATTAATTCTAAAGGCTGACAAAGCATCATGGGAGTTGTAGTTTTACAACATTTGGGGACCTACTTTTTGCTTTCTTATGTTGTAGAAGATATTTGTAGGTATGGTATAATTTATCTAGCCTACATTTACTTGTAGACTAGATAATTTACTTCAAAGTGAAGATCATTCAGTCTGTATATTGTTTCTGTTATAAGGAGCCCTAAGAGCGCGTGTTATTCTTGTACCTACCTATCAACTTATCCATCTTCAACGAAAATAGAAAGAAATAAACAACAACTGCAAATTTGTATTTAAAGCAGCACTATCACTCCTATCTTAAAATAAATTAGGATTTCAAAGACTGTGATTTTTGACTGTGTTGGGTTTTTACTGAGCTGTAGTTGTATCGTTGTACATATCATTACCTTAAGAAGTGCTATATATCCTTTACACGCCAAGTCAAATGTAAAATAATAATATATATATTTTCTACATTAAAAAAAAAATAATTACTAAAATATATGAAATTCCTAGTGAAAATGAAAATATTCAGCAAACATCATAAAATGTTCTAATTACAGTCTTTTGTAGCTTTCCAACCACAGTTCTGTCTTTATAAGTCTAGTGCTCATTTGAGGCAGAGGCTGTCCTGGTTCTTATCCATTAATTTCAACACATTTGGGCTGTTGACCAGGTTTAAGAAGAATAAGAGTTGTCACCAAAGCTTTCTGCTGTTATCCCTGCAATGTATAATTATAAAATTTAATTCAGCTGTATAAGAAGCTGAAGAGCAGTAGGGTTTGGCAGTTTTATTTTTTTTTAAGATCCCTTTATGAATTTTCTATGAACTAAACATGTATTTTCTATGCTACAGACTGAGTCTTCCAGGGCGGATTGTGGAAGATGGACGGCAAAAGGCCACGTACGATGTTGATAAAGGTATAAAAATTGACTTAAATGTAAAGT